ATTTTGGGTTTGTCAGCCTCTGGAACCAGTGAGCTGGCAGAGGTCTTCAGTCTGTCTTCTGACCCGCGCAGATCTGGGACTTGCCAGCCTCCCCTCCAATGCGTGAGCTACTTCCTTGAAGTAAATTTCTCTCAATTTATATACACTTCACTAGTTTTGTTTTTCTAAAGAATCTAAACTAAGAGCCATGCTTTGAAGATTAAATGTATTTTGTTTTAATTTTGGTATTCATATGTTCATTAAAAATGTCACGTTGGAGAAGATGTTTTCAGCCATATACTAGGCACTTGGGGACACAGAACAATAGTGAGTGCCTTGCCTTTTTTAATCCCCAATGACAACTTGTCTTTGTTGTAACTCTGACTCTTAAATCCTCCCTGCCCCCCCCAGTCCAATTACAGCCTGTTTTTCCCCATTGCAATTGTCAACTATGTGTCACACTGAATGAATGTTGGTATGAATGAGTCACTGGGTGTAACAGAAAGAACAAGAACATGAGTACTAAAATCAGACCCTATGGGCCTCACTACAATAGTGCTTTTTTACAACCTCAGGCTTCTCATCTATCAATTGCAGATAACAAACTCATAAGATTATGCAAAAATTAACAGACCAATTCACAATGAGCATTTTTTAAAAACTTCTGTCACATAGTAATTGTTCAGTAAATTCTCTCTTTAAATTAAAAGAGTCTCTCATATTGTTGTCGAGTCAGAAGTCATAGCTGATCCTTTCGTGGGATTTCAGAGGCTGTCAATCACACAGGAGGTGATGACCCATCTTTCTCCTGTGGAACAGCTGGTGGATTTGAGCCACAACTCCCTACTCCCTAGACTCAGGGTTGTTGCTGGTAGGTGCCGTTGAGGGATTCTGTGACCAACTGCTCTAAACATGTCCTATCCTGTGCCATCTTCACAATCTCTGACACACTCAAGCTCATTGCTGCAGTCACTGCGTCAATCCACCTGGTTGAGGGTCTTCCTCTCCTTTGCCGTTGTTCTATCTCCCCAAGCATGATGTCCCCCTCCAATGAAGAACCTTTCCTAGCAACATGCCCAAAATATGCGAGGTGAAGTTTTATCATCATTGCTTCTAAGGAACCCTCTGGCTGCACCTTCTTCAAGACATATCTGTTTGCTGTTTTTGTAGTCCCCGAAATGTTCAATACTCTTCTCCAGCACCACAGTTCAAAGACATCAATTTTTTAATCTTTCTGTTTATACTTGCCATGAGGGAGGTCCACTATCCAACAACAAATTTCCTCTTTCATCATCCTATAGCTTCCTGAATAGTCTTAAGATTGCAGTTGGCTTCAGACACCGCCTCACCTTGAGGCTCTGTGGGTGCTGATTATCTTCTTCAGGAGGTTAAGAAGTGGACTCCAGCTTGTACCAGATACAAGATAACAGTGGTCCCTGAGACCTTGGTCCAAGACTGGCTCTTTTTTCCTGGTGTTAATGCCTAACCCTTAGTTCCTAAACACCTCAAGATCTGTTATTTCCTTTCTATGTGCCGTCGAGTTGCTTGGTTATTTCCTTTAAGGGAAGATAAAAACAAATTCAAGAATAAAGAAAAGGAGAGAGAAAGGTACTACCTCCTATTCAAGATCTATCACAAGAGGCTTGGGTTCTATGAGCTGAACTTTTACCTCCTAGCCTTTCCCTCTGTGCTTTTCGTCACAAGTTCTATCACCCCCCATATCCAAATGAACAAGTACTGGTTGGCAGAGCCCTGGGTAAAGAAGAGAATCATGGGCCAGACGTTCTGAGTTTAAACTTGACCTTAGCCACTCACTAGGGAGCTTTGCTGGCTTAGTGGTAAGGAGCTGAGCTGGAAACCCAAAGGTACATGGTTTCTAATCAACTAGCTGTTCCATGGGAGAAAGATAAGCAATTTTTTTTCTGTGCTATTAACTGCTTCTCAAAATTCACTAGAGGGTCAGCTATGAGTCAAGTTCTCACTTGATGGTACACAGCAACAGTCATTCACTGGGTTTTAGGCAAATCACTTTTTGCTTTTGGAACTTCAGTGTGTTCCTCGTCTGTAAAAGAGCTCTGGTGGCTTAGCGGTAAGGAGCTGTGCTACCATTCCAAAGGAGCATGGCTTGGATCCACCAGCTGCTCCATGGGAGAAAGATGGGCAATATCTTCGTGTGCAATTAAACTGCCTCTGAAAACCCACTGGAGAGTCACCTAATAGGTCGGTTCTGACTCAAGGGTACACAACACAACAATTGTGTCTTTTGGAAGGCTAGTATGAGAATTTAAAAAACCACCTGCTTGCCTTTGAGCCAGAACCAACTCATAAGTGGCCCTCTCTCTAGTGGGCTTTCCAAGGCTGTAAATGGCACAGGAAAGACAGTCCGTCTTTGCCCCACAGAGCCAGTGGTGGATTTGAATGGCCAGAGAAGCATCACCTTGGGGTTAACTATGTAACTGTCTACAGACAACACCACCAGAGCTCCCTCAGACAGAGCGTACACCCAGAAGCGACTGGAAGGCAGTGAGAATGTGCACATGGGAGATAATCACTAAATTGCCATTTTACTAACAATTGTTATTTCATACATTCAGGGACTGAGACGTGGCGAAGAGCCCAGCTCAGGATTCACTCGTCACCGTGAGCTAAAAATAAGCATTTTTTCTCCTCTCCTTCGCTTGGTCAGCAGAAAGGAGCGATGCCGGCAGACCCCACAAAACCCTACCCAAACCTCCATTGTGGATAGCCCCTATGGATTTCGCTTACAGGGAGCAATTTAAGAGGCAAACAAAACATGAAAAGCTACTCAGAATTAACAATGGGCCAGATGGCAATGCTAGTTTGAAGCAATAAAACATGATAAATAGCTTCCTGCTGTGACTCCTGATCAATTTCAATATTTAATAATTCCACTGCCACCCCCACCCCCTCATCTGGCCCCCTCCACAGGATCCTGCAGTGACTCCCTGCATTCAACTCACAGAGAAAACACTTCTTCTTTTTCTGAAGGCGTCAGCAAAAAGTGCTGAAGCTCAACTGTCACATGAACACTCTCAGTGCTCAAAATGATAATTAATCTGCCTACTTCCTCCAAAGACGCCCCTTCTCAAGCCTCTCCTGGTTTCCAGGGAGAGCTGTGATGCTGCTGACTGCAGAGCCGTGACAGAAGCACTCACCTTGTGGATTCACAGTGTGGCTATTCCTTGAGTGTCCTCTTTGAATTGAAGAAAGGGAAGTTGTAGGGGAGGTTGGTGGTCATCTCACTTCACACCAGTTAGTAGGATAAAACAATCCACTAGTGATGCGTGGCAGCTCCGTGGTAGAGCCTTACCCACTAGCCATGCTCTGTGCCTCGACAGTCTCTTCTATTCAATGGAGATAATCAGACCTACCTTGCAGGCAAATTCTAGTAAGGACTGCAAGTGTAAAGCACTTGCCTTATAGGATATGGCCACCCACTGTCAGCCAGAAGCATCATTGTTTTAAACACTGGTTTCCCTCAACAATGATGGAACACTGGTGCCTGTTGTGGCCCTGTGGTGAAGAAATTCAGCTAGACCATGACTGGGAGGCTGGATCCGACAAGGGAGAGCCCTGTTGTTGCCACCTATGGGACATCCTCAGTTACCAGGAGGGCAGAAAACGTTCAAGAAGCACCCTGTTGTCAGAACTGCCCCCAGGGTTCTCCTCAAATGATGTCCATGTATAAGAGAAGTAAGCATTGTCAATGGAGAATTTTAAAAGCATTTATATCCAACACACCAAGCTTGGAGGGCAGGTTTGTCAGTACCATTTCACAGATGAGAAGATAGAGATTAGGAGGTGTTGGTAGGATAGTGTGGTCAATCCAAATCTGGATTGCTTAACCTCTGATTTCATGTTCTGTCCCCAGAGTCACAGGAAAAAGCTCTCCCTGAGGGACTCCTCTTTTCCAAAGGAGGCAGCTGGGCAGAGGGGGCACAGGCATCAGGGTGCTGGCTCCACCCTCATTCTCTGTGTGATCTGAGTCACCTGAGCTGCAGGTTACTCGTCTATGAAATGAGAATCATCATACGCAATGCACTGGCTCCCAGGACATTTAATGAGGGAACATGCATGAAAGGGCCTCGTAATTTTGTGTGGAGCTATACAAGTGCCAGTTATGGTTACAACCACTTCTTAGAAAAACACAGTCTGTGAGGGAAAAGTTCAGAAATATATCCAGCCAGAGGTGAATTCTAGCAAAATCCTTCACTGGCCTCACAGGATGTAGAGGATCAAGAGCAAACTCTTAATGTGATATTCAAGATCTTAAGAGTTCCTGCAATCTCATATCTAGCCCTTCTCCTTTTTACTTTTGCTCCAAAATAATCTGAACTACTTGGGAGATCTAAGCTCAACACACTTTGCTAGCTCTCCATGCCTTGGCTGGGCAATGTCTTTTGCTAGAGGTGTCCACACACCTAATCACTGTCCAAACCTAATCACTTGCATATCCCACCCAACCTTTTATACCAGCGCAGCCAGCCCTTCTCCAAGTAGTGACCCTTGGCCCTTTCTCTTGATTAGGAGCTCCTCCTTTCTGGTTCATCTATAGCCTCCATCAACACATGCATCACACAATGCGAGAGTTTCCTTATTTGCCTCTCGATGAGCACCTAACTCTGACAAGACAAGAACTAAATGCTGTTCATTCCAGTGTGGTGTCGTCATTGAGCATGTGTTCAATAAATGTCTACTGAAAGAATGAATAAAAAGAATAAACAAATACCTGAGTATTCTCAGGATAAATAATGGAATCAACATCTTAAACAAAACCAAGGAATCTTCATGGTAGAATCAGTGTTTGGGCAAGTACAGCCTTGTAGGCAGACAGTGTCCCAGAATTCAAACTCAGGTCAATTCTTGGAGAGATGTCTAGAGTTGATAGGATAATCATCTTCCTCCTTACATCATGATCCTTAATCAGAAAGAACAGGAAAGGAACCACCAATCCTATCTAGGTTTCTGCAAGGACATGACAGAGGCTAGTCCTCAAGTACCTGAATCCCTCTGGTCCAGAGCCATGGAGTTCCATCTCCTTGTTATGTCAATGTAGAGAATATCCACTGCAGCCATGGACAGGCTACTGCTGCTGAGCTTGCAGTTCCTGCCGAAGACGGGAAGGAGACATGTTATTGCTAGACTGGAACCCACCCTAGTCAGTCCTTCCTCTCTTCCTTTACTTGAGCTTTGTTCCTTGCCTGAAATGCCATTCCTTCCACAGCTGAAACTAGAGGATGGTAGGAGAGAAGGCTGGAAAGGGAAGGGGAGAGTGTATCATGTGAGTTTCAGAACCCAGAGACATTTAGTTAAAAAGAGGTCAACAGTTTATACTGAATTCTATCAAGCATTCAGAGAAGAATAGATAATAATTCTACTTGAATTATGCTCGACAGAATACTCTCAAATTCATTCTGTGAAGCAAGCATGGTCCCGATAAGGAACATGGTCTTGACAAGAAACACTATTAAAAAATAATACTACATTAATATTCCTCAGGAACATCACTCATTACTGCCAAATTGTAACTGACTCATAGCTGACCCTCCAGCAGGTTTTCAGAGGCTGCAAACTGCATGGGAGATCGCCCATTTTCTCCTCAGGGAAAAAAAAATACTATTCCAACAACCTGCCTTTGGCTTTGTAGTGCAACTCCTTACCTGCTAGGCTGCCAGCGCTCCCATGTCATGAACATCAATGCAAAAATTCTCAACAAAATAGAACTCAACACCATATTTTTTAAAAAAATTTTACAATGTGATTCAAGTGGAACTCACTTTAGGTATGCAAAAGTGGTTCAACATTAGAAAACCAATCAGTATAACCCATAACATAAGTCAAACAAAGGAAAAGAACCACATGATTATATTAAATGATGCAGAAAAAGGTTTTGACAAAATTCAACATTCATCCCTGACAAAAACATTCAACAAAATAGGAGTAGATGGGAAAGTCCTCAACTTAATTAAGAATATATATACAATACCAATTATCAACATTAATCTCAATGGAGAGAGACTGAAGGAATTTCCTTTCCAAACAGAAATCAGACAAAAATGTTCTTTATTCAAGATTGTATTGGAAGTTCCATCCAAAGTAACAAGGCAAGGAAGGGAAATAAAGGCATACAAAATGGCAAGCACGAAGTAAAACTACACAAGTTTTTTAAAATTGCCTGTGCTGTCTTACAACGGAAACTCTGGGATGCAGGACAAAGTTCCAGTTGAAAATTTGTGCAACACGAAAAAGAAAAAGGAAAAGAGAAACAAAAGAAGTCAAAACTATACCTAGTTGCAGATGATATGAGTGAGTCTGTATCTATAGTTCCAAAGACTCAGTAAGAAAATGACTGGATCTAATTGGCTGATTTGCCAGTGACAGAGTACAAGAACAACATGTAAGAATTAGTCAATTCCTCAACAGTAACAAAGAGAACTCCAAAAAGGAAAGGAAAAAAACCAAACAACTCAACAACATAAACAAACCCAACAAAAGAGTCCCAATATCATTCACAAAAGGTAATCCACTCAGGAATAAATTTAACCAGAGATACAAAAGACTTATACAAAGAAAACTACAAAACACTGCTACAAGAAGTCAAAGAGGCCTACATAAATAGAAGAAATTACCACGTTCATGGATAGGAAGACTTAATATTGTAAAAATGTCAATACTACCAGAATTGAACTACAGATATAATGCATTCCTGACACAGATCTCATGATGAGTTTTCATAGAGATGGAAAATTAATCATTAACCATATATGAAGAGGGAAGAAAATATGGATATGCAAAGCAGTACTGAAGAATAAGAATGAAGAAGAGAGCTCATACTTTCCAGTCTTAAAATCTACAGCACTGCCACAGTGGTCAATAGAGGTTGGTATTGGTACAATGGCAGACATGTAAAACAATGGAACACAATTGAGTTCCAACTATGGACAAGTGATCCTTTGATAAAGAGCCAAAGTTAACCCCAAAGAAGTAAATCCATCCACCTATAGACAATAAATCTTTGATAAAGAGTTGAAATGCATTAAGCAGGAAGGAGACAGTCTCTTTGAAAAATGGTGCTGGAAGAAATTTTATATCCATTTGCAGAAAGATGAAATAAGTTCCATACCTTCCACTAAATAAAGAAGACTAACTAAAAAAGAGAGCAAAGATCTAACTTCAAAAGATAAAAATACATAGACCATTAAAGGAAAAAATTGGGGCAAACTTGGGAGTTTTAATGTATGGAATAAACAGATTATCAGTCATAATAAAATGTGCATGTGGCAGAAGACAAATTAGATGACTGGAACCTTTCAAAATGTAAATCCTTACAAGCATCAAAAGACTTACCCAAAAGAATAAAACAAAAATCTACAGATTGGGAAGAAATATTTGGAAATTATATTTCTGACAAGAGAGTAATCTCTAAAATTTATGGAAAACTTAACAGGTCAACAACAAAAAAGACAAACAACCCAATTAAAATAATAGGCAGAAGACATGAAAAGACACTTCACCAAAGACATTCAGATGGTCAACACACACATGAGGAAATTCTCCAAATCATTAAGTAGTGAGAGATGAAAACCAAAGCAAGACATCTATCATCTTATCTCAACAACAAAAGCAACAGCTCATTAAGATAGAAAAAAAAGAGAAAAAAAAAAGCTGGTGAGCATGTGGAGAGGTGGGCACAGCTAAAACAGTATAACCACTACAGAAGCAGTATGGTGCTTCCTTACAAAGTTGGATATAAAATGCCATTTGATTCGGCAATTCCACTACTGTTGTTGTTGTTGTTAGGTGCTGTGAAGTATGACTCACAGTGGTTCTATGAACAACAGTTTTGAACTTTGCCCTATCCTGTGCCATCCTCACAAACTCTGCTATGCTTGAGCCCACTGTGAGAGGCACTGTGCCATTCCACCTTCTGGAGGGTCTTCCTCTCTTGCTCACTCTCTCTGTACTAAAGCATGATGACCAAGGACTAACCTCTCCTAAGAACATGCCCAAAGTTTGTGAGGCAAAGCTTCACCATCCTCACCCTCAAGAAGCACTTGTGTTGCATTTTTGCCAAGACATACTTGTTTGTCCTTTTGGCAGTCCATGGGATAGTCAGTACTCTTCTCCAATACCTCTGTGGGAGAAGGATGGACAATCTACTCCCGTGCAATTTACTGGAGAGTCAGCTACGGGTCAATTCCGACTTGACAGTACTCAACAACAACTTCTCCAACACCACAACTCAAAGGCATCAATTTTCTGTCATCCTCATTCATGGTCCAACTTTTAGCTGTATAGCAAGTAATTGAGAAGGCCATGACTTGAATCAGGTACACTTTAGTCTTTAAAGAAATATCATTGCTCCTTAGAACATTGGAGAAGTCCCTGACAGCAGATTTTCCCAGTGTAACATGCCTTCTAATCTCCGGACTGCTGGTGTCAAAAGTGTTGATTTCATATTCAAGAAAGATGACATCATTGACAACGTCAATCTTTCCTCCATCTATCATTATGTTGCCTGTTGGCCCAGTGGTTAGGTTTGTTGTTTTCAATATGGAGTACATATTGAAGGGTGCAGCCCTTGATTTTCTGCAGCTGCTGTCAGGTTAGAACCAACTCATAGCTCATTTTCCATTGGATTTCTTAGGCTATAAATAAATCTCACAGGAGGAGATTGTCCATCTTTCTCCCTCAGAGTTGCTGGTGTATTTGAACTGCCAGAGAGGGTTAGCAGTGCAGCTCCTTACAGACTACACCACCAGAGCCCTCCCCTATGTATAAATATACAAGCTGGGAGCCCCATTGTAGCATTATTTATAATAGCAAATTTATAGTAATAATAACACAAGTCTCTATCAGCACATGAAAGGATGGATAAACAAACTATAGTATGGATATACAAGGGAATACTATGCAACAGTAAAGAATAAAGAAGACTATGTGAAATACTGCACAACATGGATGAATCTGGAGGACAATATGCTGAGTGAAACAAGTATGATCCTACTATTGTAAAAAGCTAAGGAAAATTTTACACACAGAAAGAAATATTCTTTGATAGTTAGCAGGGTTGAGGAGAATGGGGAGGGGAGAAAAAATCTCAGTAAATAAATAATAGACACATGTAATGCTGGGTAAAAGGAATGACAGTATTTAATAATAGGATGATGAGCACAAGCTAAAGAAAAGCAAAATAGAAGGGTGCACATGAGGTACATTTAACCAAGGTGAACATTCTGTCTCTGACACTCCCATCCCGATTATCCCAGTCACTGAATCAATCCACCTCATAGAGGGCCTTCCCCTCCTGTGCTGTCCCTCCACCCTCCCAAGCATGATGTCCTTCTCCAAGGACCGGTCTCTCCTCACAACATGTCCAAAGTATGTTAGACGGAGCCTCAGAATCCTTGCCTCCAAGGAGCCACCCGGTTTAACCCTTTCCAGGACAAATTTGTTTGTTTTCCTAGCAGTTCATGGTATTCTCAATACTCTTCTCCAGCACCACAGCTCAAAGGCATCAATTCTCCTTCTATCCTCCTTGGTCATTGTCCAACTCTCTGATGCATAACAAGTGATTGTGAAGACCATGGCCTATAGCAAATGCACCTTAGTCTCCAGAGTGACACCATTGCTCTTCAGTACTTTGGAGAGGTCCCTAACAGCAGACTTTCCCATGGCAATGCGCCTTTTAATTTCCTGGCTACTGGTGCCAAGAGTGTTGACTGTGGAGCCAAGCAAACTAAAGCTGTGAACAATCTCAATCTCTTCACCATCCATCCTGATGCTGCCAATTGGTCCAGTGAACACTATTACATACAAATTCTGCATTATCAGTAACAATAAACATTTTTCTACAAGTGGATACATAGGAAGACAAACAGATATGGGCAGGTGAAAGAGACTACACTCATGACCATATACAATTTGACTGATGATATTTCCACACTTACTTTTGTATGTATTGTAAATATGTCTATGTATAGAACAGAGCCAGATATGTCTTGGAGAGAATGCAGCCAGAATGCTCTTTGGGGGCAACACTGGGCATGTTTTCAGAAGGGGTTATTCCATGGAGAAGGACATGAAGCTGTGAAGGTTGGAGGGTCA